AGAATAATTGTGCCAAATTTCGTAAAAATCCGTCGAGTAGTTTTCGTTTCCATAACGAACATACAGACAGACAGACAGACAGACAAAAATTTTACTGATTGCATTTTTGGCATCAGTAGCGATCCCTAACCACCCCCTGATAGTTATTTTTTAAATATATTTTATGTACAGAATTGACCTCTCTACAGATTTATTATAAGTATAGATTATTATTATAAATAATAGTACCATTTTCCTGACGGTGTCTGTGCGACTGTTCGTTTACTTGTCTGTTTTTCACAGCAAAACGAAGCAACGAATTGACGTGATTTTTAAGTGAGACAGTTGAAGGGATGGAGTGTGTCATAGGCTATAATACATTACACTACGGTCCACAGAGTATATATAACCTACTATAATATAAAATGCTTTGATCTATAGGAACGGAACAGCGAGTAAAACCGCGGAGGGGTAGCTAACTAGTACCTATGTACCTCTAGTACCCCCACTGTTAAAGATTTGGTGGTACCTATGTATGACAAACCACTCGGCTTTTTTGTTCGAAGTAAATTCCCATGGTCCATGTTGTCAGTGGCCACTTTGAAGACTTTGAATTATAACACATTCATGTAATTACAGCGGATATAACGAGCATTTGGAGTCTCCAACCAAGGTCAATTTTCCTATTATGTACTTTGTATGATCAGCCGTACAACTAACACATTATAATTTGTAGGTACATCCATTATACGGACCTTAAATTATTGACTTATCAGGTAATTTGCGTAATTAACTCGTTTATACATGTTATTATCTAATTATCTTGTGATAACGGGGTCATAGTTCAATGAAGCTACCAAATTGTGAATTTGCAATAAATCTTCTTTTTTATATGTATTTATGTCTAGATATTGCAGTACCAAATAATGGCAAGAGTGCGATATAATTGTCTTTATAAAAATAAATCAAATATCAAATAATATCTATGTTTCATTTGACTCTTCCATATTTTAGATTCAACTGCTTTAGCTGATAGGGCAGTTGAAGAATCAACTGCCCTATGTCATTCTGACATGCATCATGCATGGACCATAGCGATCTTTCTTAGAATAATTAAAAGTGAAGATTATAAAGATGTACCAGACTACCTACTACTTAATAGGACATTTCAATTTACCAGTCTTGTGAAGTTATAATTTTTTTTTTACTATTAATGACACTGTCAGAAATACTGAAGTTATGAACGTCTGTTTCTATTTCTACTTACTCCTGTACGATTCCATCCGCTGGTCGGCTTCAATTGATTGTCGCGTGATGTTTTGTAATCTAAGCTTTCCTCAACAAAAGATTTATCTAGCACGAATATAACTATTCCATTCGAACCAATCTACAGCTTTATACCATGAAGTAGGTATCGATAGATATACCACTAGAGACTCAAGTTAAACTCCACTATTACGACTGATCGATATAGATATGAATGGTTGTATTCGTGTAAAAATTACAGAAAAAATCGTTCGGCAATAATATCATGTCGCTGTTTACATACTTACACTGGTAACTCTACCCATATGAGGATAATTGATTATTTATGCATTAATAAATTATTTTTAAAATAAGTAATTTAGACTCAAACTATAGCCGTCACAAGTCGTAAAAATAAACTTCATTATTTCAGTTAATCATTTACGATTTACATGCATTTTAGAATTATTTAGGTTGGTACCACGTAGCCAAAACTTAATACGCAATGGTTTTAGTACCTCGTATCGACAATGTTGCTTGATTTATATCTTATCTTATGCCCTTACACTATATTGTTATACAACTACTCAAAACAAAATAAGGGCCACCAGATTTCATATAGTGTCTTAGAGTAAGTAACTCGAGTGCAAGTGATGGTTATTAAACTTAAGCATTTGATTATGTAGTCAACATGTTTTTAATTTATTGCCAATGTTTCAAACAAAATTCTAAGCGTTCAATTTAAGTAGGTGGGCAGAAATAGGAAGTGTTTAAAAAAAAAAGTGATCTGAAGAAATTTTATGATTCGTGTTCATGGTATGACTGTAAGAGTTGTCGTTGAATGTTACTTTTTGTGCCAGTTTTATTTGATTTCTGTGTTAATTAAATAATGTGGCTGGCATTTGACGTGTTTCGAAAAAAAGTGCCGCAGCCAAAGCAGTTTTCTACTTCAGGGGGAGATGGCTGAGTGGCTGAGTCTACTCTTCTTAAATGAAAAATTCAAAGTTTTTGTGGTCTCCGTAATTATCAGGATAATTTTTGTACATGTGATTTTTTCTTCCGCCAATCTGAGCTTTCATATGTAGGTTAATTTTGTATGAAATAGTTTTGAAGCAGCGCGGAGCACGCCTGCGCCACGCCTGTTCCACGCCTGCTGCCTTACGTCGCTTGTATATATTTTAGGCCTAACGCAAAAACATACATCTATACCTACTAATATTTTTTGTTAGTAAGAGTCTGACACTCCCTTCCGCCTCATCCAGGCGGGAGAAGCGCGAATTATGTAAACAAGCGTACTACAGGGTGATTGATTATCTTGAGGATAGGAATGCTTGGCAGCGTGTTGGTTCGGCTCCACTGGACAATACTCAAATGTAGTCAGTACCTAGTTCAGATTACGATAATAGGTAATTTAACACTTTGATTCCGATGAAGGCAATCTATTTTTCTTGTGGCATCGAGCATTTCTTTCTTTATTTAAACAAGAGTATATTTTTTATTTTTTTCTTGTATAGAAGCACTATTTTATATGGATTGTCAGTATACATATGTGAGGACCATGTCAGACTTAAGATATTTGTTTTCTCTTGGTTTTGTTTTTTTTTTTTCTATTTTAGTATGTTCTGTTATTTGTATGTTGCTTCAGGTATGTCTTTACATTATTCTCACATGTGTGTACAATATTGGAATATGTATCAGAGCAATGTAAAACAGACTTTTTTAAAAGAGTAACGAATGGAGTTTCTTGCTCGTTCTTCTCCACTCGAATCGACATTTTGGAACGAGCGCCTAGCTTCACTGACGGACAGACTGACAGACTATTATATATCTCATATTTGTTGACGTTTCAAAAGTACCAAATTATGGTTTAATTGAAATAAATGCTTTTGAGTTTGAGTTTGAGTTTGAGTTTGA